ATTATTACCCTTTATATACCTTTATACTTATCGCACCTACTATAGCTGCTAGATATAGGTTATTTCTCTCCTTTAAAGAAAGCGTACGGGCACTAAGTTAAGAATTTAATACGCGGCTATATTAACTATATTATAAAAATTAAGTTTTTACTATACTTTAAAGCGGCCTTTAACGCGTTAATTACTAAGAGTAATATTTTAGAAAGCTTCTAAGGAGCTAGCCTTATTCTATTTAATCTAGAAGCAGTGTTATTAAAGCTTAAAGTTTAACTACGTACACCAACACCCCCTAATATAGAGGATACCCTATAGGAGTTAAAAACACTAAGTAACCCTTCTAAATTATAGTCTTAATCGGCGTTGGTTTAATTAAGGATTTAAAGGCACCTTAATAGCTTACCTACTTCTATAATTAATTTACTTAATTAGCTTACTAAAGGCGCTAAGATAATAATATATTCGGCTATTTTTTTATACTCTTAGGTTACTAAGCTTTAAGTAGTAAATAAGGTAGCTACGTAATATAAATTGCGTAAAAGAAAGCGCCTATAAAAAAAAGGGACCTTAATAATTAAAGAAGGCGCAGGCTTAATAGCTTTATAGGAGTTTAGTGCATGGGGTAATAAAAAGAAGGGTAAAAAGAAGGCCCGTATTAAAGAAGGCAACCAGCCTTAAAGGTGCTGTAAATACTATAGCGAGATAGGGCATAACGCCCGTACATGTAAAAAGAAAGTAGATTCTATAATAGAATAAAGTAATCTACCGTATTATACTGTATTATTCTAGATTATGCCGTAAAACACTGTAATATGCTGTATTTTGGTGGGGTCTTGGTAAAAGTGGCCGACTCGCCCGTGTGGCCGACTCGCCCGTGGAGTACGTTATTCTAGAAAATAAAAAATAAAAAAGAGAAATTAAAAATTATACAAAAAGAAAAACAAAGTTCGAGCGACAAGGGGCTCGAACCCTCAACCTTTGGTGAACATACGAAGACCGAAAACCAACGCGCTACCATTGCGCCAATCGCCCGATTGAGCGTAAGTCAATAATTAAAGTTATTTATAAAAAGATATTTTTCAACAACTAACATCTCAACAAGAAGCGTTGAGCTCAGGACAATCTCAGCGATTGTTATAACACTACAACTACTGCAGAAATTGTGGATCCGGCTCCGTCAATCGGTTCAGTGCTACAGGTTCCCCTTACCCTGTCCCCAAACCAGCCAACCTAGTAGACAATTCTCTGACTTTCACACGTCCTCTCTGCCGCCGGACCTTCGAGCTTCACAACAGGGGCTTAAAGGATCTCGGGACGGGGAAGAGGTCATGGTGATGCAAGTTGAATATCACCCCCCCGGTATTGCACTTACTTTGACTGAGGTTTCCAGGCGATGAACGGCATACTATAATGACAGTTTGCGGGCATTTCTTTCTAGATATTCTCTCCATTCGGCGCTAGTGCGCTCAACACTGCCAAGATTCCCGAGGTTAGAGGCGATGAAGCATAACAACCTCTTGACTCTTCAAATTCTGCAGATGAGCGTGGCCACGATCGAACTAGTCCGCTGCGGGCCACAGGAATTCAAGGAAGCTGCCCACAGCTTCAGTGATTGCTAACCTCAAAGCTAGGCATTACTCCATCCTACAGCGAGGGGAAGAGGGAGAAAAGATGGGTATGGGAGGGGTGAGGACAGGAATAGCTTCTGGCTGTGCTAGTCGAACGTTTCCGTTACATTGCATCTCTTCTATACGAAGACTTCGATATACCTTACTAGCAGTCAACTGCCCTCCGCCTATCGCCTACTCCTTGTAGATCTCTTAGTGTACCCTTCGGCGTTGTATCTTGCCTTTCGGCAACAGCAGCAGCGACAGTCTCCACGCTCTCCGCGTTTCTCCGCGTTTCTTCTTCTTCTTCCTCTCTTAGCTAACACCATCATTCGCAATAAGTGCCACTGATCAAAAATTATCTTCGGAATGCCTCAGTTGACAATCCCAAGCATATGTTCGTCGTGTATCACTTATAATAATATTTCTGACCCTTCTCTCACCGTCGGAGGTTTCAATCGTCCCTTTCGCAACCAAACTTACTTATCTAGTCGTCCTTCGACTAGAAGAAGGCGCCCTCCGCTCGCTTTCGCGCCTGTGCTGCGACCCTATTATGGAAGACAGGAGCAGAGGACACGATTGTATATACTCTCCAGCTTCCTCTCTGTCCTGAATTCCAAGTCCTCAATATCAACATACCACCTGCAGAACATCACATACTATGTCTACTGCAAATCTTCGTGATGGACCCTCTCCGAGGACGTTGACTTGGACGAAGAGCCGCAAGCACAGTATGCCCCTTCCAGGAATCGACCACAAAGCACTCATCCCCAACCTCATCCTTTTCTCGACTTTTTATGTATCCAGGGCGGGCTGAAGCAGTCGATCAGAGCTTCAAAATCACACGATCGACGACCTCCACGATCGCATTGCTTTGATGCTCCACAATCTCATCACCAAAATGGATAACGATTCCAAGGTCTCCAGGACCTTGCTCATCCTGCACTCATGGTGCAACCATGATGACAATCGGTCGTACCAAAGCCTCCCAACACCATTAACCACACTATCCATATTTTGAACTTCGATGAGACCTATACGAGAATCCACAACATCATCAACTAATGGATAACAATCCCAAGGGCCCCAGAGCGTTGCTCATTTGTACTTATGGCGCAACCATGATCACAATCGAACGTTGCCTTACATCTACAGTGCCTTCCAACAAGGTTTGAGATCCGCTGAAAGGTACTCGATAGGTTCCAAAACCTTGCTCATATGCACCCATGTTGTGAGTATTATAGTAATTGGATTTTGCCTTACATCCATAGTACCTTCCGACGCCAATTGCTACACCCAACCGGCAGATACCGGCTTAAAGCGGTCTCTTACTTCTGCTCTATGAAAACCTTCAAATTGATGAACGTTCCAAGCGCCATGGATTCCTGAAATACATTATTCCCCTCGGCCGTGCTCATCAGAATATGCTGTGTTAGCCCAGGTGTCGCCGCACTTCACATAGAAGACCAAGTCCAGACTAAGCGCTGCGGGCAAACATGCAATTATTTCCTCCAGATTTAACCACACTCTATTGCGTATAACAAGCCCTTTACTCTACAACAGAGAGGTTAGAGACAATAAAAACACCTATATTGCATGCCTGGCCTGGTCCGGAACGCTGGTTGTTGCGAGGTCAATTTGTGCTGAAGAAGCCCTCAGCGGGAAAGAATTCATCGACATTCCCACATTCAGTTCCGCATCACGGCTTTAGCACAAGCACGCACATATTGGGTTCGCCACGAACAAGGGTTGCGCAGCGACCCATGCTACAATGAGATTGCATAACCGCACGAGGCCTGGAAGATTATCTCAAAATTCAACCACATCATTCCCGCCACAGACATTCACGGTCATTTCTACACGACAGAGACATTATAGACATTACACAAGCCTACATATGACGCAGGAGGCGGGGCTTGGTTCAGAGTGCTGGACACCGCATATTTTCCTGTTCCAAAGATTTAAAATATGCCAACTCATTATATGCAAGCAACAACTTCTATCTTCCAGCATACTCAAATCGAGCCTTCAGTCTCACCATCGAACAAATTCACTCCGCAACAGGGCACACAATTGCCCCCCCGCACAGACTGTGCCGGGCTACGTGGAGGCGCCGCCTGGCTATGAGGGTGCAATTGGGCAGGGCTTGCTCCTGGTATAGAGGGGAGTATTAACCACAATGTCTACGGACGTATGTTCAGCGATCTCCCAAGAGTTTAACGAGGTTATGGTGTCCAATCATTCGTCTGATACCCAGCTAGAGCAGGGTCTTTTGGCTATTTTCAATCACAGCGTTCCATATGGCGTATAGATCTGTCTGGGATCTCAGGAAAGCATTAGCTCTTGCTCTTTTAGACCCTACATTTACTAACATGCAATCGTCTCCAGATTCAACCATCTCCCTGTGCTCAGATAAAAACTATTCCACTACGATCGAGAGGTTAGAGACAATCCACTTGCCTATATTGCATGCACACCAAAGACCTGGTATGACGCAGAAGGCGGAGCCTGCTTCTGAGTGCCGTTTAACGCAAGCCACAATCAAGGCACTGGCGCATCCATCTTCATTTCTCGAGGTCCGCCTGGAGGCATTGATACCGTTGCGCCAAAGGGCTTGCTCGCGTCCACTACTGGCAGCCGCTTTGACTGAGCTTCGTCTCCTTTTGTCTCCTCTTGTCTCCTCTTCCAGTCGTCGCGGATACTGCGCCGGACGACCGGCTCCAAATGCCGAGTATGGGAACTTATTTGTGCTCATTGCCGCCAGCGCCAGTCTCTAATTATCTACCCCAGGCGGTGCGGAAGACCCGAACCATACGTGATAGAACACAAATATCTCATCTCATGGGACTGGGCGACGAATGAAGCAAACTGGCGAATCGCGATCTCTGGAATGGGCCATGAAAGAAGGCTGATTGAAATCTCCAGGTGTGGCATCTGACGTTCATTCACAGCCTCAGTGCCTTCCACCTTGTTTGAGGAGGAGTTCTTAGCCTCCACTTGTTCGGTGTCCAACTACGTCCGATGAAAGAAGGAGGACCTCGAACCGGATATGGAGATAGTAGGTGGGTGAGACTCAGAGTAGAATGCGTACATCTGCCATCTCTCATTCAAAGGCTTTGAAAGCCCTCAAACTAGAGCGCCTTTAGTTCGGATATTGGTATTTTGCTGGCTAGATCTTTATTCGATGTTATTTTGCCCAAAAGTGGTAGGTGTAAGGCTATTCTCCAAACACGGACCAAATTTGCACGAAATGCATCGCTGGTACTTTGTAAACCAGCATGGAGAAAACGCCACGCACAGCTCGTCTTCTGAATATGCACCATATGCGCCAAGTTCTGAAACAACTTGATTGGGAGCTGTAGTTCCGTATAATGAGCGCGCGGAATACTTCCGCACCTCTCTTAAAAGCTGCGCGTCTCTGAGACCACCTTAGCAATCATAGCATCTTCCCTTCAGAAGTAGCCACCTTTTTACCTCTTCGCAATGGCCCTTTCCCGCAGCGCCTCGTCGTCAGACCATGAACATAAAACGAACCTCTTTGTTCCTCACTTACTTTCTCTCCCTCAACCTCAAGCCATCCACCTTCGCAATCGCTGAAACCAATCCTATACTCCAAAACGCTTCTACACCTCTCCCCCAAAACATTTTCCAACAACAACCCGCCGCATTCCTAACACCCAACATGACCCGCGCCGCAGTCATAGCGCTCTCCCATGGCGGCGGTCCTTTACCCGTCCTGGGCGACCCCATGCACGCCTCCATCGTCTCATCCCTCCAAACGCGGGTCCCCGAAATCCTCAAACTGGGCACACCAGAACAGCCACGAGCAATTGTGCTAGTCACCGCGCATTGGCTGACGCAAAAGCCGACAATCTCGAGCGCGGAGCGGCATGAGCTGTTGTATGACTACTATGGCTTTCCGCCCGAGAGTTATAAGTTGAAGTATGACGCAGCAGGGTCGCCAGAGGTGGCCGGGGAGGTGGAGAAGCTGTTGAAGGAGGCAGGGTTGAAACCTGAGTGTGATAAGGAGAGAGGTGTGTATATCCTCCAGAGCGCTGTTCCAACATACCGCTTGAGAGCAACAAAGCGAACAGTGCTGACTGAAACGTGGGTATGAACAGGCTGGGACCATGGCGTCTTCATACCCATGCTGCTCATCAACCCCTCCGCCAACATCCCCATTGTCCAACTCTCCGTCCTAACCTCCGAATCTCCCACCGCCCACTTCGCCATCGGCCGCGCCCTCTCTGCCCTCCGCGAGTCCAACGTCGCGATCATCGGTTCTGGTTTTGCGTCCTTCCACAACCTCCGCCTCATGTTCAGCGGCGCCATGAACGACCCCGCCTTCAAGACTCGCAATGATGCGTGGAGCAAAGCCGTCGGTGATGCCGTGTTGAGTGAAAAGATCGAGGAGCGGGAGGAGAA